ATTCTGTGCCTCTGGCCTTCCCCCGGTGACAATGACTAGGGGCCAGTCTCAGTCTAGTATGGTGAACACTGATGGTGGTGCTTATACTTCACCCCCTACTGATCTGCTACTTTCTGATAAATCTCCTGTGATTAACCGTCCAGTGACACACCTGCTGCCACTGGATGCAGGTGGAGGAGGAGGTGCTGGCAAACCTAAGGCTGTGGAACTTCCACTTACTTTGACGCATCAGGCCAAGGATCCTCATCAGGCAGCTGAACATCCTGTTAGAAATGCTGGAAAGCTAACGACTGCTAAGGTTTGTATCTGTCTTTATTCACATGTACATTTACAAACAGACACTGAAATGTTTGTGTTTCAACCAAGAAAACCTTTCACTTAAGAAAATCTGATGTTTGGTCATTTGGTTAGATTTTGGGAAATAGGAACTTCTCAGCCCACACTTCATAAAAGTATAGGCAAGAATATATACTATAATCTTATTTTTAGTTTTTATTTCAAAACTTATCTATTTTTGATATTCCTGAAAAATGTATAAAGAAAATTAAAATCACACTGCACAGGGCAAAACTTAAGATCCAACAAAAGTAATATTATCATTATTTTTATTCTTCAGGATTGAGTCTCTGGTTCCTTCTAAAGTCTTCTCATTATCTTTCACTCACTTGCTTTTTAGTAACATTATTGCCTTGCTTGGAGTGAATTGATTAAAATAATAAAAAAAACACTTATTATATTCCATTGATCTATTCAGATAGGTATCCTAACATTGGCTATGTTGGGCCATAATAACAAAGATATGAATTAGTCCAATTCGCTCAATGGATAGTAATTCCACATCTCAGGAATTCAAACAGAAAGCATTGATATCATTCACATTTTATTTCAGAATAAAACACTTTACTTTATGCTTAAACAGTTCCATGAAATTTTGAATAGAGACTTGAATAATTTTCCATTAATTTTGGCTTTAATTTTTCTTGAAAAACATTTATTCATATAACATACTTAACATGCACAATATATTTGATCTCATAAAAATGTCATCAGAAAAACTATATATTGGATTGGAACAAAAATTTATAGTGTTTTTCAATAAGTGGCACTTGAAGATGAGATTTTGTTTCACTTGTGACTGAAATCTATGATATATTCTGAAAAGTGACATTTCAATGTGTCTTTTGGTGGATTGTAAATTTTAAAACTTTTTTGCTAATGAGATACATTTTGTCATTTGATGCAAGAAAGATATGTGCCATTATGGAAATGGTGCCAGAGTTGATAGTACTGTTTGTAAGTGACCCGCTAAGTTCAGAAGTGGAAATTTGGATCTGGAAGACTGAGAACATTCTGATAGGTTTGCAGTTGTTGGTTGGTTGTTTGATTTTGTTTAGTAGCATATCAACATCTCTATGCCAAAATCTAAATATTTTGTATGCAATTTTATTTTGGAGATAATAATGGTTTAGTAATACAAGTCTTACTAATTAAGCCTGTTGTAGAGTAAATAAGACACCCTACCATATCACCCAGGGTCAAACAGACAAGCTGAATGATTTGTGGGCACTTTTAAGAGAGCTTTTAACAAAGCAAGTAATGAAAACATGAGCAAAGAAGCACTACAAAAATTCTTGAGAGTATACCACAGAATCCCAGTACACCAGCAGGCATGTCACTGGCAGAATTGATGTTTGCAAGAAAAATTAAATCTGTACAAGTTGTTACCAGGACAAAAAGAATAAGAATGGTTAACAAAAAGCACACCAATTTTTTCAAAGTTGGTGAAAAAGTTTTTTTTTTTTTTTAAAGTATATAAAAATGGCAAAAAATGTGGGGAAAATGGCATAAGATCACAAATTGGAAAAATGATATATATGGTAAAAAGGAGAAAAAATCAGAGCACAAAAGACACTGGAATTGGTTAAAGAAAAGGTTTACTAAAGAAAGGCCTGCAAGAAAGGAAGAACCTATGCAAGTACTGTATGATATTTTTGATGGACCAACACCCCGAGAATTTGTTGAACATACAAGTATGATTACCAGAAAAAGGAAATGTACAGAAAAACTAGAAGTCTACCCAAAACAAAAGAAATACAAAGTTCAGTACATGGCAAACTCTCCAGAAAGAGGACGGGGTGAATACTAAGAAATAAAATAAAATATTTACTAGTGAAAACAAAAAAAAACAAAAAATATTTCCATGAGCAGGGATGTTGTGGAGTAAATAAGACAAATGAAATAGGCAAGAGCCTTAAATAAAGAACTCAAAGTGTGTCAGAGAAAGTCCGTTGGAGTCGGTCAAGGAAAATTTCTAGTGACATCACAGCAAGTAGCCTAAGTGAGACATGATATTATAACTACTAGGAGTAAGTTATAACAAACCCATAGCTGGAGAAGAAAAGGTGGATTCATATCTTTACCAAGAGTATTTGCATATAAGTGAATATAAAAAACCCAACTAGAATTGGAACTCTACTCTCTGATTAAGAATTCTGACCCATTATACATTACACCACCCATGCATCCAAACTTACAACACCTGGTATTCCCAAGCATTGCAGTTGTTGATGATGTTGACATATCTCATATGTGTTGTAAGGCATTTAAAGACCTTTAGATATGTGAATCACACATTTTGGTGTCTGATTATATAACTGAAAAAGATTTAATGGATTGCATTTCCATTTGTAATTCTCTGCTTAATTTCAACAAAAATAGCCCGTTTTCGAACAGAACAATCACAGGTGGTGAAAAATGAAAACAGTCCCTGGAAAAACAAAATGAGCCACTATTAACCACTACAAAAGCTGGTTTGCATCAAAGAAGGTGACGCTATGTATCTGGTGGGATTTGAAAGGCAATGTAAATTATGAGCTCATACAAAATCATATGTTGAATTCAGACAAGATAAATACTATTACCAATTGAATCAATTAAAGGCAGCAATCAATGAAAAGTATCCATAATTAGTCCATCTGATGAGTTTGGTCTTCCATCATGATAATACCTGACCTCACAACTCTTTACAGACCGAGTAGAAATTGGTGCAACTTGGCTGTGATATCCTACAACATCCACCATATTCATGTGACTTTGTACCTTCAGAGGACCACTTATTTTAGATTATCACTTATTCCTACAAAATTCTCTTTATGAGAACAACTTTAATTCTCTGAAAACCTATAAAAATGATGTAATAATGAAGCTACCTCAAAGATGGCAAAAGTTAGTGGAACAATATATCATATATGTAGTTGAAAAAGATCTATGTACAAATATCTAAATATCATCTTTGAAATTCACTTTAATAAAAAAAACTATGAACTTTTGTTGTGACCCAATATTTAGCATAGAAAAAACCCTGTAGATGCTATTTGCTAATGAGTATACTAACTAGGTTGCATTATAAACAAAAAAAAAAAAACAAAAAAAACAATCTTTGTATTGTGACAGAAATATAAAACTGTACAACAGTGTTATTTGGAGATTGTCAGTTATAAGGCTTCATGAATAATTTATTAGTTAATTTTTATTATTAAAAGGTTTGTTTTTATCAGTGTATTCTCTCTTTTTAGTCTGAAGTAATATATTCCAATTTTCAGATTCATTAAATATCTTTTCTACACTCAAATCATTTTGTAAACATTATCATAAAATTATCTGTGTGAAGATGTTGCACAAAAACAATTGGTACTACTTATCAAGGATATGTCAAAATAACTCACATTTATTGATTTTTATAATGAAGTGTACATATTTTCCTTAATTTTAAAAAATGATTTTAAAATGCATTAGAATCTATTCTTACTGTTTTATTTGTGTTTAAAAAGTGTGAAATCTTCAGATCTTAAATGTTTCTAAATTCAAAAATTTGTAAGCCTTTAAAAATTTTAAGATATATAGAATATAAATTCTTACAAGTTTTCATTAATTTCCTTGTTTTCTTTCTAGGTATTACTTACTGTTATAGTGGAACACACCTATTCTATAGTTAATAGACTCTCCCACCTATAATAAGTAGGAGTAGTAAGAGTAACGAGAAGTTGCTCAGTCAGTCAATGCCAGACAACCGTTAGTCGGATACTAAAGTATCAGCAACCACGACTAGATTTCTCTGCGTCATACCTATTATATGAAGTTCCTAACGTTTTGCGCGTTTAACCTATTTTAGGACCGACTTAGTACAAATACAAGATTCCACTGTGAAACTACTCCATAACACTTACATAAATAACTTGATAAGTACACAATTTGAAGATTAAGAGGATTGTGTGTATATACACACACTTTACTTTAGATGCAGGAGTCTACCAAATAGAATGTAAACAATGCTCTAAAAATCTACATTGGTGAACCATCTTGGAATTCATAGGAAAAGGAACTTGAAATTATTTAAATATGAACTGAAATGAATAAAATCTTAAATGATACAGTTGAAGTAAAAAAAAAAAAAAAAAGTGTTAATATAATTACCATGAATCACATTTGTCTTGCTGTATGTGGATTTAGTAAAAATAAAAATACATTTTTCTGATGTTGTTTAATCATTAAATCATGGTAAAACGCTTTTTTTTCCTTTTCTTTTTTTTTTTCAAAATTGTCTTATGTTTGCCATTTGGTCAAATTCTCGTTCAAATTTAAATATATATAAAATCTCAATTAATTATCCATCAAGAGAATTCAAACTTCAATAAATATTATCTTTCTTTCTACTTCATTTTATCCTTACACAAGGGATGCATTTACAAGTTTAGACTCTTCAGTTTGTTTTCATATTTTTGTCTGTATTGTTGCTTTACTATTTCAAAATAGCCTTTTTTTAAATAAATATATCAAGTCTATTTTCAGATTTTATAATAAATATGTGCTACTAAACTTAATCAATATTTATTGTTATTATGGTAAACAAATTTAAATACTTCATGTATCATGTCCCTTCAAAATGTAGGCAAAAAACTCCACAACTTTCTACCTTTTGTAGCTCTAAGTAATGTTTCTCTCCTTACTATCCTTCCCAGTCCTTAATCTGCCATCCATTTGCATCAGCTTATTAGGTAGGTTACTCACCATTTCCATCTGTCCTTCTTGCTTTCAATATGTCCTACAATTGTCAATGTTTCCAAGTAGATACCTAAAACTGCCTTAGTTTACACTGTGAAAATGAGTCAAAATAATGAAATATCCTTCAAATCTGTCAGTTTGGTTGGCTTAAGATAATGTTTGAAATTGTCTAACGGAAAATTTCCAAGTTGAAAACTTTAGTAAATTAAATACCATAGAAAAAACTTAAAAAAAAAA